AATCAATCATAAGGTGGGACTAATATAGATGGAAGGGGGTGAAATCCAACATAAGGTGGGACTAATATAGATGGAAGGGGGTGAAATCAATCATAAGGTGGGACTAATATAGATGGAAGGGGGTGAAATCCATCATAAGGTGAGACTAATATAGATGGAAGGGGGTGAAATCCATCATAAGGTGGGACTAATATAGATGGAAGGGGGTGAAATCCATCATAAGGTGGGACTAATATAGATGGAAGGGGGTGAAATCCATCATAAGGTGGGACTAATATAGATGGAAGGGGGTGAAATCCATCATAAGGTGGGACTAATATAGATGGAAGGGGGTGAAATCTATCATAAGGTGGGACTAATATAGATGGAAGGGGGTGAAATCAATCATAAGGTGGGACTAATATAGATGGAAGGGGGTGAAATCCATCATAAGGTGGGACTAATATAGATGGAAGGGGGTGAAATCCATCATAAGGTGGGACTAATATAGATGGAAGGGGGTGAAATCTATCATAAGGTGGGACTAATATAGATGGAAGGGGGTGAAATCCATCATAAGGTGGGACTAATATAGATGGAAGGGGGTGAAATCTATCATAAGGTGGGACTAATATAGATGGAAGGGGGTGAAATCTATCATAAGGTGGGACTAATATAGATGGAAGGGGGTGAAATCTATCATAAGGTGGGACTAATATAGATGGAAGGGGGTGAAATCTATCATAAGGTGGGACTAATATAGATGGAAGGGGGTGAAATCAATCATAAGGTGGGACTAATATAGATGGAAGGGGGTGAAATCCATCATAAGGTGGGACTAATATAGATGGAAGGGGGTGAAATCCAACATAAGGTGGGACTAATATAGATGGAAGGGGGTGAAATCCAACATAAGGTGGGACTAATATAGATGGAAGGGGGTGAAATCCAACATAAGGTGGGACTAATATAGATGGAAGGGGGTGAAATCCATCATAAGGTGGGACTAATATAGATGGAAGGGGGTGAAATCCAACATAAGGTGGGACTAATATAGATGGAAGGGGGTGAAATCCATCATAAGGTGGGACTAATATAGATGGAAGGGGGTGAAATCCAACATAAGGTGGGACTAATATAGATGGAAGGGGGTGAAATCCAACATAAGGTGGGACTAATATAGATGGAAGGGGGTGAAATCTTATTCTCGGAAGAATTTGTTGTGACTTGTTATTTTTAGTATTCATAGTAAATGATAATCTAATTTGCAGCCAACTGACTTTCAAAATCATTGATGATGAACAGTTAAAAGTTGATGCTCTCCAGTTTCCAGCCAAATCATAATTAGCATACCTTTAACAGTTATCATATTCCAAGTTGAACTCAAACCTTGATGACACTTTGAGAGTCTATCCAAGTCAGGTCCGGTTTTTCAATAATATACCTGTAATTGTTGTCCTAAAATTTTAAAGTTTCTATTTTGATTATAATTTTCAGTTATTTACGGCTGAAAATGCGAAGAAATTAATTGCAGTAACTGCAGACGACAAACAGTATGATTCATTGATATTACGAGCAATGATTGAACTTGCTAAACGTAAACCTGAGACGTTAGCCCCCCATACGGAGGCGTGTATTAAACTAATAAATCAAGTTAATGATTACAGTATTTATTTCGTGTGTAATGTTCTCAAATTTATTGGAATGTATAATGAGGTTAGTAAAAATTTTCTTCTGGGATTGAAAACTAGACATTTTTTTTGTTGGGGCTCAAAGTATGTTTGTCAGACAAATCGTGGACTATGATCAGAAGTCAGTTTATAATAGAGATATTTTTATTATATTATATTATTATTGTTTTTTTAGTATCATTATTTGTTTTTATCATTTTTTTCAGAAAAAGGGGGACATAATCCTTACTGCCTTTATAAAGAAATTTAAAACTTGTGATGACCAAACTCAACTGTATGGTTTAATAGACGGTATGAAACATATTGGATCGAAATTTAAACCTCTTCTAGAGAAACATAAACCTGTGTTAGAAGCGAAGAGAAAATCAACGTCTGACCAAACTATCAAAGATCAGATCACTAATATAATAGACTGGTTAGAAGGCAGAACGTAAGTATATCTAACAATTGTCATATCCAGGGCCAGTCTTCTATAATTACATTTTGGTCCTAATTGTACCAGGGTTGTTTGGTATAGGCTATACTAAAATATCATATCCAGGGACATTGTTCTGTAATGTATACCAGGTGTTTGGTTGTTTGAATTAGCAGCAGATCAGTTTGTGAACCAATGATAATCATAAACTAGTCAGTGGCTGTTGAAATACCAAGGGGAGATAAATGTGACCTGGATATTAATTATATTTTTAATCTAGAATCAGTAGAGCTCTTGATCAGTTTGTAAGTTTATGGTGATCATCCTCTTGTTATCAATGGTTTGAAAATACTCAGACCAATTACTCTGAAATCAGTAAAAACTCATAAATCTCAATCTAGGACAGATCATCATATTACTCTTTTTATTAAAATAACAAGGGCAAATACTCTGTATCCTCTAATAGCATGATATTTATTAAGGTCAGGTCCCAACTATAGTAGGAAAGAAAATATAAGCTCGTATGAACTAATCAACATTCTACTCTCTTTCTCAGAATTCAAGGTTTTATGGAAGGTATCGAACAACTACAAGACGATGTGGTTCAACTTGACAGTCGAGTAACAACCAATGAAAACACTGTAAATGAGGTCAAGGTCGATGTCAAAAATACGAAGAAAGACGTGGTGAAGATTAAAAAAGATGTCAACAAACAAGGGAAGAAATTAGACTCCATGGGAAGAGTTGTTGATGATACCGTTAAAAAAGTGGAAGAAATCGATCAAAAGGTAGTTCTGCTGTGTTTTTAGTCTCATAAAAGCACTGGCCTAGGTAACAAAGTAAAGAATTGTCATAAAACATAGTACAAGCTAAAGGTCATTCTACCTTTGTTTTACAGACATTACGTCATGTTCCGTACTAGTCTAAACATATATCTCTACTGTTGTTTTACAGACATTAAGTCATGTCCCGTACTGGTCTAGAGATATATCTGTACTGTTGTTTTACAGACATTAAGTCATGTTCCGTACTGGTCTAGAGATATATCTCTACTGTTGTTTTACAGACATTAAGTCATGTTTCGTACTGGTCTAGAGATATATCTCTACTGTTGTTTTACAGACATTAAGTCATGCTCCGTACGGGTCTAGAGATATATCTCTACTGTTGTTTTACAGACATTAAGTCATGTTCCGTACTGGTCTAGAGATATATCTGTACTGTTGTTATTCAGACATTAAGTCATGTTCCGTACTGGTCTAGAGATATACCTCTACTGTTGTTTTACAGACATTTAGTCATGCTCCGTACTGGTCTAGAGATATATCTCTACTGTTGTTTTACAGACATTTAGTCATGCTCCGTACTGGTCTAGAGATATATCTCTACTGTTGTTTTACAGACATTAAGTCATGTTCCGTACTGGTCTAGAGATATATCTCTACTGTTGTTTTACAGACATTAAGTCATGTTCCGTACTGGTCTAGAGATATATCTCTACTGTTGTTTTACAGACATTTAGTCATGCTCCGTACTGGTCTAGAGATATATCTCTACTGTTGTTTTACAGACATTAAGTCATGTTCCGTACTGGTCTAGAGATATATCTCTACTGTTGTTTTACAGACATTTAGTCATGCTCCGTACTGGTCTAGAGATATATCTCTACTGTTGTTTTACAGACATTAAGTCATGTTCCGTACTGGTCTAGAGATATATCTCTACTGTTGTTTTACAGACATTAAGTCATGTTCCGTACTGGTCTAGAGATATATCTCTACTGTTGTTTTACAGACATTAAGTCATATTCCGTACTGGTCTAGAGATATACCTCTACTGTTGTTTTACAGACATTAAGTCATATTCCGTACTGGTCTAGAGATATATCTCTACTGTTGTTTTACAGACATTAAGTCATATTCCGTACTGGTCTAGAGATATATCTCTACTGTTGTTTTACAGACATTAAGTCATGCTCCGTACTCATCTAGAGATATATCTGTACTGTTGTTTTACAGATATTAAGTCATGTTCCGTACTGGTCTATAGATATATCTCTACTGTTGTTTTACAGACATTAAGTCATGTTCCGTACTGGTCTAGAGATATACCTCTACTGTTGTTTTACAGACATTAAGTCATGTTACGTACTGGTCTAGAGATATATCTCTACTGTTGTTTTACAGACATTAAGTCATGTTCCGTACTGGTCTAGAGATATATCTCTATTGTTGTTTTACAGACATTAAGTCATATTCCGTACTGGTCTAGAGATATACCTCTACTGTTGTTTTACAGACATTAAGTCATGTTCCGTACTGGTCTAGAGATATATCTCTACTGTTGTTTTACAGACATTAAGTCATGCTCCGTACTCATCTAGAGATATATCTGTACTGTTGTTTTACAGCTATTAAGTCATGTTCCGTACTGGTCTAGAGATATATCTCTACTGTTGTTTTACAGACATTAAGTCATGTTCCGTACTGGTCTAGAGATATATCTCTACTGTTGTTTTACAGATATTAAGTTATGTTCCGTACTGGTCTAGAGATATATCTCTACTGTTGTTATTCAGACATTAAGTCATGCTCAGTACTGGTCTAGAGATATACCTCTACTGTTGTTTTACAGACATTAAGTCATGTTCCGTACTGGTCTAGAGATATATCTCTACTGTTGTTTTACAGACATTAAGTCATGTTCCGTACTGGTCTAGAGATATATCTCTACTGTTGTTTTACAGACATTAAGTCATGTTCCGTACTGGTCTAGAGATATATCTCTACTGTTGTTTTACAGACATTAAGTCATGTTCCGTACTGGTCTAGAGATATATCACTACTGTTGTTTTACAGACATTAAGTCATGCTCCGTACTGGTCTAGAGATATATCTCTACTGTTGTTTTTCAGACATTAAGTCATGTTCCGTACTGGTCTATAGATATATCTCTACTGTTGTTTTACAGACATTAAGTCATGTTCCGTACTGGTCTAGAGATATATCTCTACTGTTGTTTTACAGACATTAAGTAATGTTCCGTACTGGTTTAGAGATATATCTCTACTGTTGTTTTACATACATTAAGTCATGTTCCGTACTGGTCTAGAGATATACCTCTACTGTTGTTTTACAGACATTAAGTCATGTTCCGTACTGGTCTAGAGATATATCTCTACTGTTGTTTTACAGACATTAAGTCATGCTCCGTACTGGTCTAGAGATATATCTCTACTGTTGTTATTCAGACATTAAGTCATGTTCCGTACTGGTCTAGAGATATATCTCTACTGTTGTTTTACAGACATTAAGTCATGCTCCG